AACCTTATGAATAGCAGTGAAACACTGTCTGAAATATTACTGGAAAACATGATGAAAAGCCCTGAAACACTGTGTGATGTAGTGCCATAAGATGAGCCCCTCAGATCAGAAGGCACTCAAAATACGACTGAAGAAGAGCTGCCTCCTCAGAGTACATCCGACCTTAATGGTGCAGATAGAGTAAAGCTTTTGGGAACCCCATTTGCCTATTTGGCATGTTTCAAGATGAGAAGAAACAGCTGCAAACATCCTTTAATAATTGAAACATGGAATGTACAAAGTATGAATCTAGGAAAATTGAAAGTTGTCAAAAATGAAATGGCACACATAAAGATCAGTATCTTAGGCATTAGTGAGCTGAGATAGACTGTATTGGGCCGTTCTGAATCAGACGATCATACGATCTACTATGACAGGAATGATAATTTGAAGAGTAATGGTGTGGCATTCATCATCACAAAGAATGTATCAAGATTTACCCTGAAGTACAATGCTGTCAGGGATAAGATAATTTCCAAACGCCTACAAAGAAGTCGAGTTAATACTACTATTATTCAAATTTATGCACCAACCACAAAAGCCAAAGATGAGGAAATGGAAGAGTTTTACCAATTTCTTCAGTCTGAAATTGACCAAACGTGCAATCAAGACGTGTTAATTATCACCGGTGACTGGAATGTAAAAGTTGTTAACAAAGAAAAATAACCAGTAGTTTGAAAATATGGCATTGGTGATAGAAATGACGCTGGAGATTGCATGATGGAACTTTGCAAGACCAACAACTTTTTCACTGCAAATACCTTTTTCCAACAACACAAATGGTGGCTATACATGTGGACTTCGCCAGACGGCATACACAAGAAATCAGATGACTACATCAGTGGCAAGAGGTGATGGAGAAGCTCAGTATCTTCAGCCAAAACAAGGTCAGGAGCTGACTGGAACAGACCATCAACTGCTCATATAGAAGTTCAAGCTGAAGCTGAAGACAATTAAAAGAAGTCCAAGAGAGCCAAAATATGACCTTGATTATATCCTTCCTGAATTTAGAGACCATTTAAAGAATTAATTTGAAGCACTGAACACCAATGACCAAAAACCAGAACTGTAACATAACAACAACAACATCATCCATGAAGAAAGCAAAAGGTCATTAAAAAGATAGGAAAGAAAGAAAAGACCAAAAGGAATGTCAGAAGAGACTCTGAAACTTGTCCTTGAACGGAGAGTAGCTAAAGCACATGGAAAAATTGACAGGATAAAAGAGCTAAATAGAAGATTTCAAAGAACAGCTCGAGAAAACAAAGTCAATTATTATAATGAAATGTGCAAAGATGTGGAGTTAGAAAACCAAAAGGGAAGAACACGCTTGGCATTTCTCAAGCTGAAAGAATTGAGGAAAAAATTTAAGCCTCGAATTGCAATACTGAAAGATTCCAAGGGCAATATGTTGAATGATGCAGGAAACATCAAAAGAAGATGGATGGAATACACAGAGTCACTATACCAAAAAGAAGTGGTAGATGATCATCCATTTCAGGGGGTGGCATGTGATCAAGAACCAATGGTATGGAAGGAAGAAGGTGAAGCTGCACTGAAGGAAATGGTGAAAAACAAGGCTCCAGGAATTGACGGAATACCTACTGAGATGTTTCAACAGACAGATGCTGTGCTGGAGGTACTCACTCAGCTATGTCAAGAGATTTGGCCAACTGACTGGAAGAGATCCATTATTTGTATCCATTCCAAAGAAAGGTGATCCCACAGAATGTGGATATTAGCGAAAAATATCACTGATATTACACGCAAGTAAAATCTTACTGAAGATAATTCAAAAACGGTTGCAGCAGTATTATTGACAGAGAACTTCCAGAAATGCAAGCTGGATTCAGAAGGGGATGTCGAATGAGGGATATCATAGCTGATACTAGATGGATCTTGGCTCAAAGCTAAGAATACCAAAAAGATGTTTACTTGTATTTTACTGATTATGCAAAGACATTCAATTGTGTGGATCATAACAAACTGAGGATAACATTGAAAATAATGGAAATTTCAGAACACTTAATTGCACTCATGAGAAACCTGTACATAGACTAGGAGCTGTCGTTCAAACAGAACAAGGGGATACTGCATGGTTTAAAATCGGGAAGGGAGTGTGTCAGGGTTGTGTCCTTTCACCATATTTATTCAATCTGTATGCTGAACAGTTAATCCAAGAAGCTGGGCTATATGAAGAAGAACATGGCGGCATCAGGATTGGAGGAAGTCTCATTAACAATCTGAGACACGCAGATGACACAACTTTGCTTGCTGAAAGTGAGGATGACTTGGAGCAGTTACTGATGAAGATTAAAGCCTATACACTCTGCAGTATGGATTATACCTCAATATAAAGAAAACAAAAATCCACACAACTGGACCAACAAGCAGCATCATGATAGATGAAGAAAAGATTGAAGTTGTCAAAGACTTCATATTACTTGGTTCTACAATCAATGCCAATGGACGCAGCAGTCAAGACATCAGAAGACACACTGCATTGGGAAAATCTGTTTCAAAAGACCTCTTTCAAGTGTTGAAGAGCAAACTTCAACATATTAAACAAACCTCTATCTAGACTGACCATGGGGTGGTGGTGGTGGAGAGACAGAAAATTCAAATTACTAAAATCTAACATCCTTTCAATGACAAAGACACTTAAAACTAGGAGCCAAAGGGAATTTCCTCAGTCTGAAGAAGGACATCTATGAAAACCCACTGTTAACACCATATTTAATGTTAAAGGACTGAATGCTTTCTCCCCAAGATCAGGAACTAGACAGGATGTCTGCTCTTACCATTTCTGTTCAAAACTATACCAGAGATTCTAGCCAGGACTATATGGTAAGAAAAAGAAACATAAGGTGTTGGATCGGAAAGGAAGAAGTAAAACTATTTGGAGATGACATGATCCTGTATATGGAAAATCCCAAGTATCAACTAGAAATTTTTCAGAGCTAATAAACAAGTTTAGCAAAGTGATAGGATACAAAAACAAAAATGCAACACTCCCCAAATTGGTCTACATATATAATATAATCCCTGCCAAAATCCCAGATGGCTATTTTGTAGAAATTCACAAGCTTATTCTAAAATTCCAAGGCACCCAGAATGGCCAAAACAATCTTGAAAAAAGACAAACAAGGTTAAAATTTACAATTAATTATTTCAAAACTTACTACACAAAGCTACAGTAATCAAGACTGTGATAAAGGCAAAAAGACAGAACAGGACTGACTAGCCAGAAATAACCCCTCCCATTTACAGACAATTGACTTACAAGAAGCGTACCAAGATAATTCAACAAGGAAACAAATGTTCCTGAAACAATTGGCTAGCTACATGCCAAAGAATGAGTTTTGGACGGCTCCTCATACATACACTAAAATAAACTCTAGTGGATCACAGAGCTAAATATAAGAGCTAAAACTGTAAAACTCCTGAAGAAAAAATAAAAGAAAATCTTCATAAGCTTGGGTTAGGGAATGGTTTCTAAGATAGGACACCAAAGGCACAAATGACAAAAAAAAAAAAAAGGTAAACGGGACTTCATCAAATTGAAAACATTTGTGCATCAAAGGTCACCACCACCATAAAAGTTAAAAGACAATCCATAGAATGGGAGAAAATATTTGCAAATCATTTAGTTGACAAAGGACTTATATCCAGAATACATAAAGTACTCTTATAAAAATACAAACCAATTTTTAAAAGAACGAGAGATGTGAAAAACCTTAAAGAAAGAAGATATACCAGTGTCCAATAAGCAAAAGAAAAGATGCCTGAAATCATTAGTTATTGGAAATATGCAAATAAAAACCACAGTAAGATACTACAATATACCCACAATATAGGAGCGCTTGTGGTATAGTGTTAAAGCACTTGGCTGCTAACCAAAAGGTGGGCAGTTCAAATCCACCAGCTGCTCCATGGGTGAAAGATGTGGCACACTGCTTCTGTAAAGATTTATAGTCTTGGAAACCCTATGGGGCAATTCTACTCTGTCCTATAGAGTCACTATGAGTTGGTTTCGACTCGACGGCAGAGGGATAGTTTTTATACAGGTGCGCGCTCTCTCTCTGTGTCTCACTGTCACGGAGTCGGACCCGACTCATAGCAACCCCCTCCTTGGGTTACCGAGGCAGCATCACTACGGAAGTAGACTGTCCAACCTTCCTTCCAAATACAGGCACTAGAACACCTAAATCAGGCACTAGAACACCTAAATTAAAACTGTAAAAATGTTTATTATAGTATATATATGCTTCATATAAAATATATATTTATATTCTAATTTAGCTATATCATTTCATATATGGATTTACGTAAAATACATATGCTCATAAAATGATGTGAATCAAATTATCACTGGTCACTTTTGGGAAAAAGGATTTTTCTAAATTTTCTGTAATAAACATGTTGATTTCAAAACCAGAAAAACCAAGCAAAACAATAAATGCCAATGTTTGGACTGCTCCCTTAATAAGCTCAAGTGGATCACAGAGCTAAATGTTAAGAGCTATAATTATAAAACTCCTAGGAGAAAATATAAGAGAAAATCTTCATAACCTTGGGTTAGGGAGTGGTTTCTTAGGGCACCAAAGGCACAAATGACCAAAAAAAAAAGGTAAATTGGACTTCATCAAAATTGAAAACATTCGTGCATCAAAGGTCACCATCAAGAAATTCTTTTTTGTTTTGTTTTTTTAAATACATTTTATTGAAATATAATTTATGTACAGTGAGAAGAAAGTTAATTCTTGAGGAAGTAGTTAATTCTTTCTTCCTAAGAAGGTCTACAGAATAAAGCTTGTTCAACACTATTTTGGGAAGAAAAAGCATTAAGAAAACCTAAAAGTCAAATATTTTAAATAGACACTCAGAATCTGAAAGAGAGCCAAGATTTCAGCAGAATACCATAAATGTATCAACAGTCAATACACAATTATGTTCCATACTTGTATATGAGGCCAAGAGGCCTCAAGTGTGGGTTCATCTTCTTCTGGGTCAAAATCTGGATTATCACTTGGAGGAAGAGTCCGGAAGATGTTCGCACTAATCTATAAAGAAAAATAAACTAAGAGTTATGTTCTTGTTGGATTCAACAACACAAATTATTTTTAAGATCATGTTATCTAAGAAAAACGTTTAAGTTGTGGCTATATGCTCAGAACTTAGTTCAAAACCTAAAAATTTCTTCAAGATACGAAGGCGGCAGCTGTTTGTCCCATTTGTTATTTCCAATAACTCCTACTTCTTCAGACACTAAGCTATGGAAGACATCCTCTACATTCTTCTATAAATCCCCCCTCCCCCACATTTGCCTAAAAAAAAAAAATGGGGGTGGTAGTTAAATTTGAGTGTCAAGTTGGCGGGGCCTGACTGAGTGGCTGGGCAGCTGGATATAGTATTCCCCATGATGAGACTGGTAATCAGCTCCACGGTGGAATCTACTGTAAGCATCTGAGTAGCTGCCTTAGGGATATGGTTTAAGGAGAAGCCTTGGGGAATAATCTCTAGCTTATGGCATGCTTGAACCCTTCATGTAGCCGACCTGTTGTTCAACAGCCTGCCATGCTCTGCTGAGCTTGGGACTTTCAGTGGATTTGAATTAATGACCTGCCATGTGGTTCGGTGACATTGGGACTGTACCTTTTTACTTGTCAACTCTGGGTTTGTCAGACTCAGGAGCCAGGAGCTGTCTGAGAGAAGAGAAGCCTCTAGCTTCAGTGGGCCGGGAGCAGGAGGCAGAGCTGAAGCCCAAGGTTGAGGAGCTTTCACACAGCTCCTACAGCCTAGCACTTTGAATTCAAACTTAAAGCCTCCAAACTCTAAGAGAATAAACTCCTGTTTGTTAAGGCCATCCCATTTGTGGTATATTCCTGTCAGAGCACTGTATATGTACATAAAATATTTTTGTTTCCTTTCGTTATGAACTCTGAAATGTAAACAGGGTTGATGCATTTTGGTTGTACGCGTTAGTGTATCACATTAGGTGCAAATATGACTTTATAACTGTCCTTATTTAGAGAGTACATATGGTTAAGGAGATGTGTACAACTGCCCAAGTTGGGTGGGCTGTGATAGTTGCAGTTGTGTGTCAACTTTGCTAAACCACGATTCTGAGTGGTTTAAGCAGTTGTGATGTGGGTTATTCCCATGATGATATTGGATGTGTATGCTCTGAGCAGCTAATCGGTTGAAAGGGAGTTTCCCTAGGGGTATGGCCTGTTTCCAGTATATTTATGGATATCCTGGGAAAAGAGACAAACTTCTGTGGGTCAGGATTCTGTTGCGCTGCCTACAACTGTCCGTGAGTGAACAATCCCCCATTCGGCCTGGAGGTCTTGGATTTGTCATTCGTTGGAGTCAACAGCCAGTATACTGCCTGCCAACCTTGCGCTCGTCAGCCCCTGCAGCTGTGCAAGTCGGGAAAAGCCTCCAGCTTGATGTGTGATCCATGAACTTGGGACTTGCCAGGTTCTATAAGTGTGTGAGCCATTTTCCTAAGATAAATTTCTCTTTCTAAGCTTTACTGGTTTTGCTTTCTCTAGAGAACCCAGCCTAACACAGGAGGGGTATGGTTTACTAACTCTATCTATCCTTGATTATTTTCTTCTTCCAAACCACCCTCCCTCCATATTCGAACCTAGAGATCTATTTACCTAACAGTTCAAAAAGAAAAAAAAAAAAACTGGTAAAATATCTGCATTCTTATACATACACACACTGTGTGAGGAAGGGTAGAGATAGAATAACTTCACCATTATAATGGACATAGTTTATAACACCCTATGATGATTTAATGTTTTCATCTACTCTGAAACTTAAAAAAAAAAAACAAACAAAAAAAAAACCAGCCTATCTGGGATGTGTCCTGAGTCTTTAGTTCAGATTCAAGGAAATATACTATTTATAATTTCATCTTCTACATTATCTGTCTCAGTGCCAAGGTAAACTACATATCCTATTTCTAAAGCAAAAGATAGATTGTGGTTTCAACCCACAATTCTTTAAAGAACAATGAACAGACAAGCAGCAGATGAAATGGTTCAGTAAACATTTAAGGCCATATTATTTAGGGAATGACTGGTCATGTGAAATAAACTATTTGGGAGATACAGAATGAGACAAGGGAAGTTTGGTCATGTCAGCAAGTTTCCAAATCAAAAAATATTCTTATGAAACAGCATCTATGAAAAGCCAAATAACTGTTAAATAGTCAATTACTATAACCATAAGACTTAGAATTGTGACCAGCTAGAACTCTGAGCTAGTACATTAGGGACATGGATATCAACTTCACAAAGAGTAACAGAAAGCCACAGATGGATTTTGAAAATTGAAATATAGCCTCTTCTCCAAACTGCCATCAAGTCAATTCAGACTCTTAGCTACCTCACAGGACAGAGTAGAACTACGCTAAAGAGTTTTCTAGGCTATAATCTTTGCATAAGCCTACTGCCACATCTTTCTCCTGCACAGTGGCTGGTGGGTTAGTAGCTGAGTGCTTAACCACTACACCACCTGGACTCCTTAGACGGGATAATTAGCCCTTGAAATCATATTTATTATTGTTGGTATAAAAAAAAGAAAAGAAAAAAAAAAGGTTAACCTTGTAGATAACTAATAAAATTAACTATATATAACAATCAAGGATATCTCCTTGAGGACTAAGGTGCGCCTGACACAAGCCATGATATTTCCAATCGCCTTGTATGCATGTGAGAGCTGGACAATGAATAAGGAAGACCGAAGAAGAGTTGATGCTTTTGAGTTGTGGTGCTGGCGAAGAATGCTGAAAGTACCATGGACTGCTAAAAGAACTAACAGATCTGTCCTCGAGGAAGTGCAGCCAGAATGCTCCTTGGAAGCAAGAATGGCCAAACTTCGTCTCACCTATTTTGGTCATGTTGTCAGAAGGGACCATTCCCTGGAGAAGGATGTCATGCTTGGTAGGGTGGAGGGTCGACGAAAGAGGGGGAGGCCTTCAATGAGATAGATTGACACGGTGGCTGCGATGATGGGCTCAAGTATAGCAGGGATTGTGGGGCTGGCGTGGGATCAGGCAGTGTTTCGTTCTGCTGTGCATGGGGTCGCTATGAGTCGGAAATGACTCGACGGCACTTAACAACAACATATATAACAAATATACAGAAGATCCTTAAAGGACCAGTAAGTGGGTGAGTTGGCTCTACTCTTATCTAGAAATCCAATCAAGTACTCAGAAGTTAAAAAACAAACAAAAATACATTTTTATTTGAGCAAAGAAATTGAATACTATAATTCATTAATATATATTGCAAATTATAAAATAATAATTTTACTCAAAAACTTGAGTACATTTAGTATCTAAGGCACCAACTTTATAGAGTTTATTTAAATAAAGTTATCTTCTCCAGAATTTTCAAAATTTATGAATATAAAGCATTTGAAATCAGTAACAGTGGGGAAATACTGAAAATGTTTTTAATGACCAAAGAACAGAATAGGAAACATATCAATATTCAGTATTTTTATCCTTAAACTTTCATTTCCTCTTTGCCACTGTGGGATTTTAGGAAGTCAAGTTCATTTTGATTAAAGTTCTCCCTACAATTAATCTTTAAAAAATTTTAAAAGTTTTATTTACATTTTTCAAAAAACAACCAAAATTTCCTAAGTCTTCAGCTTTTGACAGGTCTTCTAGTACAATATGAAAGAAAAATCAAATAGTCTATTAAGGTCAAGTTACCTTTCCTACACATTTTGTTCTTCCAGAACATAGTCAGTCAAGGGGAGGAAAATGAAGGCAACTAACTTACTTGCTGTTTGCTTCTGTAACTTGGTAACATTTAGGTTTAAATTATATACTCAACAACTCTCTACTCCAACTAAATCTTTTGTATTTTATATGTAACAAAATATAAAAATTAGAAATCTTAAACAAATTTCTACCATTTGATGGAGAATAAGATTGAATTACTAATAAACAGTATCTTAAACAATTTTACTTCAATAAAGTTGACAACAGTTTATTCATCAGATACTGCATTATTTATCATTTAAGTTCTTAAAGGTCTTGAGTTTCCATTCAAATGTCATAGAATCTATAAATACTGATAGTGAAACACTCTAAATAAAAATGTTAACCTGATTCCCTACACACTTAAATGTGTAATTCACCAGAGTTTGTTTTTTTTTTTGCTGGTCTTCTCGTCCTCCTTTAGACATTCTCTCTCAGTGACTATTCACTCCCATAACATTAATTATCATCTTGTATAATCTTGAGCCTACAACTTTTTGTAAACTCTTGAACTTCACTGTTCAATATGGACGATACCAGCCATTAAACTACTGAATTCCCAGGCTATTATAAGCAATGTCAGCATCACTGGAATGGGTGGATAACCTTTCAAATGGACTACTTTGAAAAATATTTTTTTGGTATATTAATTATTATACCTACCCACTAACTCACAGCCATTGAGTCAATTCTGATTCACAGCAAGCCTACAGGAGAAAGTAGACCGCCCCATAGGTTTCCAAGGCCGTAAATCTTTATAGAAGCAGACAGACTCATCTTTCTCCTGTGGAGCTGCTGGTGAGTTCCAACTGCCAACCTTTTGGTCAGCAGCCCAATGCTTTAATCACAGCACCACCAGAACTCCTTTCACTGTATATTTATTAAAAGTCAGTCTCATTAATTCCTAATTACACCTCAGATCCTACTTGAATTTATATAAATCTGAGGAACATAAGTCTAGAGGCTTACCATTTTTACTATATCAGAATACGCTGATTCAACAATTACACCACGATTAGTTGAAACATACTCAACCAGTTCATTCAGTGTTGCTCTTTTAATTTCTTTGCTCTTCAAGTCTGAAACCGAGTCCATGAAATCAAAAAGTATGCAACACTGCTGCAACTTCTGACAGAAAAGTTCTTGTTGTTCATTTGTAGTAGCATCTATAGAGAAAAATGAAGGACAATTTAGAAATAACCCACTTAAAAGTTTCTCTTGTATTTATTAATTGTATAGAAGCTATCCACATACATTAAATAAAACCTCTCTCAAAAATACGAGAAATTTTATGCAGTGCTGAGTTGTCAGTGAAGGCAAACATGGGTATGGGGATGGATGGATGGGTGAACAAGCTAAACAATTAGGTATGTCTAGATGGAGAGTGTATCCAAGATCATATATAGGGTTGGCAGACAATGGGCCTATAAGTTCATGTGAATGATCAGAATTCCCAGGTGTATAGTAGAGCTGACA